ATTCATTGGGCCATTGAGCATATGTTTGGCTTTGGAAAAAAATGTAAACAGGAAAGGAAGTGTTGGGTAAGATTTTACAAACATCATCAGGCCAAAAAAGAAGGAGAGCAATTAAATGTGTTAAAGGATAAAGATGTTAGTTCTATTTATCAACAATGCACAATGTATCCCTTTAGGTTTCACCTGAAAAGAAAAAGAAGGAAGTATTCTGAAATAATGCATGTTGATTTTTTAAGAACTTGTATAGAAAAAGAGTTTAAAGGAAAAAAATCCATTAATGGATAAGCTGAAAAATATACTGTTTTGATTTAGTTATTTAATTAATTAATTTTTACTATAATTACATCCAAGCTGCAGTTTTACACGAGAATGATTTGCAACCAAGTATAAACTGCTCCCGTCTCACTTGCTGAAGGTAAAAGGCCAGTTTCTCTAAAGTTTGCCCAATTTGCTGACCCCTGACAAACAATATTGGTCCCAGTAGCCCAGAACTATTAGAACAGGGGTGTCAAACTCAATTTCATTGAGGGCCGCATCAGCATTGCGGTTGCCCTCGGGAGGCTGGGTGGGTATGGCCAGGGTGGGTGGGTGTGGATGGCCTACTGGGTGGGCATGGCCAGCTCGACATCGTTCGCGTCAAGGGTGCCTGTGGGGGCCTGGGCAGGAGTGGGACAGATCTGAGGGTCTCTGGCAGAAGGGGGTGGGACTGGGGCAAGCGCCAAGGCATGGTCCATTTCTTCATTCCTCACAAAGGGTGACACCTCCCCAGCATGAACCCAGGGGGCGGGGCCAACACGGCAGGGGCTGGTTCCTCGCTGTTTCTAGATGGCCTTGTGGAGCTAAGACTGAATGTGTTTCAGCATTGATGACCACCACAAAATTGTACATTGGCTTCCGGATGGCCTGGGCCTGGGCCAGGGCCAAGGCAGTGGGGGCCGTTCCCTCACTGTTTCCAGGATGGTTTCGCGGGCCACGTGAAACCACTTCGCGGGCCGTATCCGGCCCCCGGGCCTTGTGTTTGACATGTCTGTATTAGAACATATACTACAGATGAGTCTTAAACAACTGCTTTTCTTGATGGACTAATTCATGGAAATCTAGCAAATTATGTAAATCTAATACTTACTTCAGCATTAGTTCCTGTTTTGCCTTTATCTGCAGTTGATTTGTAATTTTTATTCTTTGCTAGATATAGCAAGAAAAAAATAATTTAAAGCTCAGCTACATATTAGACCATCAAATGAAAATTGAGTGTAAAATAACTTCTATAATCTGCATAATTCAGTCACATGCACAGTGGTAGAATTAATTCAGATAGATATGCACAGGCATGAATTTATACACACTTATGCACATACTTAATTTAACATAGACAGTCACTGTGAGGTTTTTCTTGGCAAAAAAAAGTTGGTAGCTATTTCAGAACATGATTTCAGTGCAAATAAAGAGAATTCAGCGCTCACAGCTTGGTCTCGGGAATCAAAAGAAAAGGCAGAAATGCTCACTGCAGTATATTCACATGGAAACTGCTGAGAGCACTTAATAGAAGTGTCCAGCTCTCAATTAAATTGCTGCCTAACCCTTTCTCAGAAACAGACTTCAAATCCTGAACTATTCCATTACGAGGGAAGCCTTGAAATGTGAGTCATTCATTCCACTATCCTTGAACAGCTTCATAGCCTTGATGAAATGCTTAGCAGCACCTAATAAAGTATCTCAGCATACTTTTAATGATTTGTACAATAGGATACCAACTTCCACAATGCATCAAGCCGAAATCATTGGATGAATTTGTGGAAAATCATTACTTTTAAAAGATCCATCTGTTTACTTCCTATTAAAATCCCGGGCTTGTATTTGGATCCTAATCCCTACCATTATGCTCAAATGAAACAATACTTATTTAGAATGCAATTCTATACCTGTCTCCTCCGAAGTAAATTCAAAATCAGCACTGAAGGCTTCACAACAAAAGTAGACAATGAAGCTGATTTTAGAGTTACGTATTACAGGTATTAGATCATTAAAACAAATAAAAACCTGCACTTAGAAACAAGGATAGCAACCAGCTTTTCCCAGACAAATATTGAATACAGGTAATCATCGACTAATGCCAGTCACTTATTGACTGTTTGCACTTACAACTGACCCAAGAAGGGGGCTTATGACCCAGACTCGAAGTCTGGTTGGGCCTCTTCCACAATCACAAGACCAAACTTTGAGTGCTCAGCAACAGCTGCCTTTACAGCCATTTGCAGCATCCTATGGTCACATAACCATGTTTTATGACAATTTTGCCAGAAATGGACACTTCTGGTTTTCAGCAAAACTGTGCCAAGAGCAAATCATTGGCTTGCTCAACAATTGCTGCACTTGCTTATGACCATTGCATAAAAGTCATAAAATCAAGTCAGCTCCATTACGTAATGGGCAGGTTCCATTATAGTCAAATGTTGAGGACTATCTGTAACTTTTTTTTTAATTCTTCCATTTTAAAGAAGCTCATAATCTACGAAGAACTAGAGATGTAATACATGTAGTTGTATTGAAACAGAGCTGTTTTACATATACCATGCAAGTAAAGACAGTATTTATTTCATTATTTTAAAAATGATCAGATAAAATATACAATATTATCATATAATACTATGGAACCAAAGATGCAAGACTGTCCAAACGGTTAAAAATTAAAAAACACCATAAACGCAGGCTTCCCTGTATTTGCACATTCCAGATGTGTTTGGCTACAAATCACATCCTTCCCAATCAGGATTGAGAAAGGTAACCATTAAAGTATTAAGAAAACATCTTCACTGAAAAGGGGAAAACAAAGCAGATGACTCAATAAACCCATGTTGTTTCATGTACACATTTACATGGTGTCCATGTTATAGAACACATTTCCTACAAGTCCAGCCAGCTGGCCGCTATTTTTCGGCAGATGCTTTCCTTTCTGACAACTTAATGAGCTTAAACCTGAATTCCTTATGTTTGCCTTGCTTCCAGTTTGCTTCTGATTACAGCACTTCCTTCCCTACACAACTTCATTGAAACAAATGAGGATGCATGATTGTTAATTTGATTAAACTGATCATTATATGGCTATTCAGTAGCTCCCTTTGCTGTGTAGTTCTTACTTTTTTCAACAGGACTGAAACAGGGATGCACTTCATTTTTTTTATTTGGTTAATTTCGCCCTTTGATATGTCATCTATAAGGAACTTTGATATGTCATCTATAAGGAACAATTCCATAAAATAGAGCAGGGGTGTCAAAACTGGAAGCTATGCCCACCCCAGCTCCGGCAAGGGGGAAAATGTTACAATACATCACAACACGTCATGTGACACGGCAAGTTTGACACCCCTGAAATAGAGTATAAGAACCTTTCTTGTTTTTTAAGGCATCAATATAATGGATTCCACTTAATTATATTTGAGGCTATATGATATACACATTCACAAATCGTGTGCTACTGCCTGATGCTCGCTAATTAAATGATACATCCATCTGGGTATTCATTTCCCTTTTAAGAAAAGGGGGGAACTGGATTGCCACATGGCATGCCCCGTTCAGATCCATGTCTTTCTCCACAATTTTTCTGCAATAGACTGTTGGCATTTTCCATGTTCATGGATTTCAATTTCTTTCAATTCCCAGCCATCAAATATGTTCAGTCCTCACTGGGATTTTGGGAATCTAAAGACCCCTCAGGCTGGTTTGATTAAATTTTCTTTCTATAAACCATGTGATCTTGGCCACAAAAACCATTGAACATCAAGAATGAAGGAAATGAAAAATAAAAATAAAAATAAATGTCAGATTTTGCTTTAGAGAAGTTTGTTGAACAAGCCATATTGACTTGAATGGATAAATTATAGCTGGTAGGTTCATACCATGCTAAAATTAAACAAACTAGACTAATTTCTTTAGCTCAATGGATCTTTACCTCTGATCTTTATCTCTGATTTCAGGACTACTAGTAATCTGTATATATAGTACCAAGTGTTTTCTGTTCTGGTATCAAAATAAAAATAAAGTTTTAAAATGATTAACTTATCGGGAGACTGCCAAATCTTACAAGATTTTTGATTTTTGACATCTCTTGAGAATTTGGCTATTTTTAAAATTAACTATTATTCAATGTTGAGATCCAACAGACCCCAGTGGAGACTATATATGTCATGGTATCATTTTTCCATGGCTTATGCATGATAGTCCTCAAAAGCTTTTCAGGATAACACATTATGAATCAAGGAATAGATTGCTTATCGCTGACTTAGTGTTATGTGTGAATATGTCCCTTTCTTAAACAGCTCAATATTAACCGGTGGAAAGCCACAGTCCCATTTGAACCTAAAACAGATATCATAACAGCCACATAACCTGCACACAAAAATCAATTAATCCTGCAAGGGAAGAACTGAATGTAATGGCTGGTGCTGGAAGGCCACACCATAGCTCCCTGCAAATCCCATCAAATCCAAAAACACACAACGCTTGCAGAGATGAGTACATCAGGGGAGCAACTTAGTCACCAATGAAATAAGCAAACACAAAGCTCCAGAATACTTTAGTGCATATTCTTTATCCATCTTACTGCCAGAATATCGGATTGGGTTTAGAGAAACCCACTTAACACTGAGAAAAAATTCAACCCTTGTTTGATTTCATTGTTTTTGGTACAGATGTTGAAATAGCTTTCATTTGGCAACTTCTGAGTCATAGAATCATAGGGCTGGCAGGGACTTAAGAGATCATGGGATCTAGTCTAACCCCCCTGCTAAAGGTGGGAGCCTTATACCATCCCAGTCAAATCCAAGAGCATCCCTCAGGGACAATTCAGCCCGAATTTACCACTCTAATAGCAGACTCAATTGTCGCAGGATAACCACAGTTAACACAACACACCCGCTCCTCCCCCCCATATGGGCTCGCGAGACACGTCCTGCCAACCACCTGCTTTCCAATGCGCGCAAGCCGGCCCGCCGTCACAATACCTGGATGAGACCCTCTCGGAACAAGGCGGTATGCACGCAGCCCGGGACCTCGCCTTTCAGAGCCAGCGAGCCGTTCGCGTTGTTCACCCGCCAGCTGCCCCGCAGGCTGTGCACAGCTGCTCCTCCGGGTCCCGGCGAAGTGGAACCGAGCGGGAAACCGCTCCCGCACACGGCGAGCAGAACCGCCACCCCAAGCAGGCGATCCCCGCTCTCCATCCTCGGCTCTGCCGACAGAAGTTGAACCCCGGCAAGAGACTGGCTGGCAGAAGAGGAGGGCGGGGGAGAGGATCGACGGTGGCACAGCGGGCGGGAGATACTCCCGAGTCTCGGGAGCCGCGTCAACCGAACTTCCCCGGAAAAGCCAAAACTCTCGGGCGCCTTTGGCCTCCGCGTAGTAGAGGAAGAAATACGCCTGCGCGCATCTTCCACGCCTCCGGGCGCTGCAAACGGAAGGCTGGGCGCTTTCGCTTATCGCGTCCGCAAAACGCGGTCGGAACTTGGGGAAAGAAGCAGAGCGAGGCGACTAGGCGCGCGATCCCCTCTAGATCAGGGCTTTTCAACCTTTTCACCGATTGTACCACTTTTAGGATATGGCAATATCCGAGTACCACCAGTCGCCTAGCAAGGTGTCAAAAACTTGATGACCCAAAAAAAAAAAAAAAGGAAAAAAGTGATAAAGTACAGGTAGTCCTCGACTTACAACAGTTTGCTTAGTGACTATTCGAAGTTACAATGGCACTGAAAAAGTGCCCCCCAAGGCACAGCTGAGCAAGACACCTGCCTGCCCGCCTGGCGGCACTCTCATTCCCCCTCCCCCCCGCTACCACTTTTCTAGGATGGTCCCGTACCACCTGCCAGGTGCCAATGTAGCACAAGTGGTACCCGTACCACTGGTTGAAAAGCCCTGCTCTAGATGTTGGCGATGGTTTGAGGCGGTGGCAGCGCCTTTCTAAGAATGGCAAAAGGCGGCGGCGGTGCTGTTGTCGCGGCCTCGCAGCTGGGAAACTTCCTTCTCGGGCACGCCCCTTCCAAGTTCCCTCTTGCGGGTCGGCAAAGAGACTCGTTTTTTTAAAAATCGCCTTCTCTCACCCCCCGCTCCCGCCGGCGTCAAGGTTGCATTAGTCAGGTCGGGAAATCGCCTCCAGGCTACGTTCTCACGTTATTTATCCTTGGGTAACAGAACGCTGATTTGTTACACTCGGGATAGCGCCTAAGAATTGGATTGAGGCGTTTCTGGTTCAGAGAACGTCTTGGAGCGGGGGGGGAGGGAAGAGGAAGATTTGGGGATTTCAGTCTCCTACCCACCGTAATTTCTTTTGTGAACGCCCTGTAAATTTAAGCTACTGCTTTGGCGCCACATCCCTCGCCTACTCCATTTCTTTATTTGATGGGAGTGATGGAGTGGTGCTTCAGGAATTTTTATTCAAGATTTTTGCCATCCTTAGGCTTTTTCCTACCCTGAGTTTGTAATCCTTCCACTATAATATGTAGGGCTGGTGGTTCTACTGAATAAAAGGAGTTGTGCACTTTGTTCTCACTTTCCAGACAATTGGAATGTAGCTCATTACTGGAATTTCACAGCATATAGATTACTTTATCACTTTTTAATTACCAATTTGATTCTATAACTCCCAGTGACAAGGTCCTTCAAGCTGTGAGTTCAGTCACCTTTTTGTTTAATTTCAGGGCCCTCCTGGGTGGTCAAGATGGGCTGAGAGAAAACCAATGAGTGGGGCTGTGCAATTGTGTCAGCCTCTTTGACGGAGGGGAGGTGCTTTAAAGGAGGCATGTACTTTTCCATCATGGACAGTTACTGTCTAGTCCAGGGGTGTCAAACTCAATTTCATTGAGGGCCGTATCAGCATTGCGGTTGCCCTCGGGGTGTGTGTGTGTGGCCAGGGTGGGTGTGGCCTACTGGGTGGGCGTGGATGGAATAGGTGTGGCCTACTGGGTGGGCATGGCCAGCTCTACATCGTTCGCGTCAAGGGGGCCTGTGGGGGCCTGGGCAGGAGTGGGACAGATCTAAGGGTCTCTGCCAGAAGGGGGTGAGACCGGGGCAAGCGCCAAGGCATGGTGCATTTCTTCATTCCTCACAAAGGGTGACACCTCCCAAGCATGCACCCTGGGGGCGGGGCTGACACGGCAGGGGCTGGTTCCTCGCTGTTTCCAGACGACCTTGTGGAGCTAAGAATGAATGTGTTTCAGCATAGATGGCCACCACAAAATTGTACATTGGCTCCCGGCCGGCCTGGGTCAGGGCCAAGGCAGTGGGGGCCGTTCCCTCACTGTTTCGGGATGGCTTTGCGGGCCGCATGAAGCCACTTCGCGGGCCGCATTTGGCCCCCGGGCCTTGTGTTTGACATGTCTGGTCTAGTCTCCAACTTTCTCTTGATGGGGAAGATTGTTAGAAAGATAATCAGACAGCAGTTACACTGTATCTTGGAGGAAACAGATTACCTGAACCCATTCCAGTTGCATTTCAGGCCAAGGCATTGAGACAGTTTTGAATGCTTATCAATTATCTTTGGTGGACCCTTAGCCATGAAAGCCAGCTGGGTGATTTGGGGCCAGTCACTTTCCCTCAACCCAACCCACTTTACAAGATTGTTATTGCGGGGAAAGTAGTAGTAGGAGGATATGTTGGACATGTTTGCCACCTTGAGTTATTTGTATAAATAATAAAGGGGAAATAAATAATCAAATAAACTTCCTGAACTCCTGTTTTGAGAGCATAATATTTCATTGGCTCTTTTCCTCTAACATGAAGTTCATTCCTAGAGGCATGTTACATATTTTTGCCAGAAGATCTGCAATTTTATATTTATAAATTCTTGGATAACTACCATCTGGATTTGGAGATATGTCTGTTTTCAGTTAGTAATGGATAGAACAAAAATAGAAAAAAATGTATTCCTTCAAATGTTACTAAACTACAACTCTCAGCAGTGCCAGCTAGCATAGCCAAGGGTTAAGATGCAGTCAGCTATATTAGCAACTGGAAAAGTGTAGTTCCCTCTTCTTCTATTTCATGTTTGCTACGATTTCTCAGATACCGGTGTCTGAACAGATATTGTCAGGAAGAGAATCTTCTATGTCAAAAGCAGACACACCTAATGCATTTATCTGCCTTGCAAGCTCCGTTCTTTTACCATGCCTCTAATCTATAGAATTATGAAGTTGGAAGGTGCCATTTAGACCACTGGCTCCAGCCTAAATGATTCAAAGTCAAGGATTCCCAGAGAGATAGTTATCTAGTCTTTGCCTGAAAATACACTGTGAAAAGGAGCCTTTTTTCAGTTGAGTCATCAGTAAATGACTTTACTGTTAAAGTCATTTGCTTTACTATTACTTTGTTTTAATAACATTTAATCAGACTCTACATCAGGCATGTCAAACTCATGACGTCGCACGACGTATCGTGACTTTTTCCCCTTTGCCAGCAATGGGGTGAGTGTGGTTTTGGTGTGACGCATCCGGCCCGCAGGCCAGCAGTCTGACATGCTTGAAACTCAAATCCATTATTCCATGTCCTGCATAGAATACTTCAAGTCTCTAACTTTTTTCTAACGATATCTTTTCAGATATTTTTAGACTGCTATCTGTTAAACAAGCCAAAACCATTGGCTGGAGGATTTAATCTGTTCCTTAGTTGGTTTTCCTGATTCTGATTAAGATTAATTTCTTTGTGATTGAAAAATATTTTCCCAAAACCTTTTTGTAACCTCACATTTACTTATTTCCACGTTTACATGCTCTGAGAGGGTTGAAACTATGATTGCACAGCCCACGTCTGCTCGTTTTCCAGCATGTATTAGATAAACAGATTAAAATCTGAACTTCTAAAATATGTTTATGTAGTAGAACAGAGAACATAGGCAATACCACAATTATAAATTATTTGCAGAAGGGTAATAGTGATATGTTACTCAGTTCCAAGAAAAAAAATAAGAAAATTTTCTAAGATAGTGATGGTGAGCCTATGATACATGTGTCAAGATGACATGCCACATTTTGGGTGACATACTAGTGTTTATGAATCCCAACAACTATTCTTGGAAGTATGGAAATTACACAAAAGAGTTGTGCATTTGCGTGACCTCCAGAGCCTCTGAAAAATCACACAAGAATGGGAAGTGCTTTTGTACAATTTCAGAGGCCACAAAAGAGCATCCTCCAAAGCAGGGATCTCCAACCTTGGCAACTTTTAAGACTTGTGGACTTCAACTTCCAGAATTCCTCAGCCAGTGTTGCTGGCTGAGGAATTCTGGGAGTTGAAGTCCACAAGTCTTAAAGTTGCCAAGGTTGGAGATCCCTGCTCCAAAGTTATTTCAAGAATGAAGGCCTTGTATGACCTGAAATAGCCTCAAGTAGGCCACATGGGCCTATCAACTGAAAGAAACAAAGCAGTGTACAGCAGAATTGGGGAGCTCTAGGCCTTGGAGGCAATCATGGCTTGGAGAATGATGTGAGGCAACCTTTTTGAGTGGCAATGTTGGCACTAGGACTGAAGTCAAGGGCTAAACCTTTACTTCAGGCCCAGACTAGGTGTTGCTGAGTGCAGCTATTCAAGGTGGCCTAGATGGGTCATGGGCCAGCAGAGTCATTAATTTTTGACATGCCAAGCCCAAAAGGTTCACCATCACTGATGTAGGGCATGAGGTTTTGTAAATTACAGGTTACTTCAAAGATCTATGAAGTCATAATTAGTGGTAACTACACCACTACCCATATGTATATAGCTGTACTAGATGACCTCCAAAGTCCCTTCCAACTTTATTATTATTATTATTATTATTATTAATAATAATAATAATAATAATAATAATAATAATAATAATAATAATAATAATAATAATAATAATAATAATAATAATTTGTTATCCAGATCCAATACTTAAGCTTACTGGAACAGCAACTTACTGAATTCCTTTTTTTAAAATAATAATTTCATTAAAAATTACTATATAAAAATTAATACAAAGAACAATAATAAAAATAAAGCTGCAGAAAAGAACACCTTCAACAATCTTGATCTTTAGTCCCTTCAAATAATGTCCTAAAACTTGATTTTTTTTCTTTGCTCTTCTCACAAAATTCTTCAAAGCTTTAACATGCCTTTTTTTGTATATCCAATTTAGGAAAATATTTCAGGTCATTCTCTTGGTTTGTTATTTGTACATCCCTTTTAACTATTAAGACATCAGCTTTTGTTTTTCTTTGTTGGTCAATGTAGTATCTTTTTCCATATGATTCTTGTCCTTTTTAAATCCTCTTTGAAAAAAATTCAGTCATCTGGT